TCAATTTCCTGTTTTACACAAGACAACAATTACAATTTCTGGAACTTTTTAGCAAAATCTTTAAGTCTCTTAATTTTGACTTCTTGCCTTGCTTTGCTTTCCTGGCAACCAATGAAGCTTTAAGCCCGAAGGAAGAAAGTACAGGAAAAACTTTCTTTCCGCTCAATGTCAGGACCTAATTGGGCATCTTTGGCTGGCTGTTTGCGAGTTGGCTACACTTTTTCGACTCATTATGCTGGTTAGGCTAACAACAGTGACTCAATTGTGCTCCGTCCCAGCTGACAACCTCAAAAGCCCCCCCAAAAATACCACCGAAAACAAAACCAACTCACAAGCCAACTAATTAAGCTTCGATTAACTTTGCCACGAGAACAATAGAGCATTGGCAGTATGACAAGCCGCAGAATACAGAAAAGCCGCCCCTCTGCCCCCCAAAAATCATTGCCATGCCACTCCCACCGAATCGAGTGGATTCGGTTATGGCCCCAAGGAATTGGCCAGCATGAAAGCGGCCTAAACATTCGAAACCATTTAGTAAATAATCGAAATATGGGAAGTAGTTCAAGTGCTTTGGCGCAAACTTTTCCCACAATGCACACGTTGCCGTATCATTTCCGTTGAAACTATAACCATCGCCATGGCTATATAGCCGCCAGTGCTTAAAAGTTCAAGATTGTGCAAATTTCAACAATGGAATAAAACTTTTTATGTTAAATGGGAATTAGAGAAGAGCCGGAAGGGTGAACAGAATAGTGGAGGAGAACAGAAGCCATAATCGCAGGGCAAAATTGATGAATTATTAAAGCCAAAGTTTTGTGAATCCAGAAATATATAGTTTCAATATAGGTCTGTTACATGGACCAGAAAAAAAGCCAGAAATGTACATCCAAATTAACTCTTTACAAAATAAAAGCACTCCAAAAAGCTGCCATTTTCATGTACTTTACTGTATTGCAAAAAACTATTTATTTTCTTTTTAAAAAGAGAAATATTTTCGTATTTCTTTGTTTCTTTTCGTGGGCAACAATCCTTTAAATGCGAAATTCTACGGTGCAGCAGCAGTTTATTTAAAAAATCATGGGACATTTTTTTGGTTTTGCATAATGTCGAGTGGGTGGAGGAGTTGTCCGATCTTTTTTGCCAACGACACTGATGCCAATTTCAATCAATTCAATTAATGCCTCAATTCATGGTTTTATCTCTCATTCCGCCCCCGTAACACCATTCGAATTGGGGAAAAGTGGCGGGGGGAAAGCCCAGGGAAAAGAAGGCAAAGGAAAAGCGTCGAACGGAAATCCCGAACAAACCGCAATGGCCGGCAGCAGACAATGCAAATTGTTTGAGTGCCGCCCTCCGAATCTCTGTATCTCTGTATGTCATGGCTATCTGTGTATCTGTGTCTGTGTATCTGTATCTGTGTATCCGTATCTGTGTATCTGTAACTGCGGTTTCCGTTTTGGCTTTCTTTTTGCGTTTTTATTGCATGTGAAGTATTTGAAGTATTTGCGAACTACGCTCGAGTGTATTCATTCCCTTTTAGCTGCAAAAAAAAAAAAAAAACAAAGAAGGAAAATAAGAGAAATGGGAGACTTTAATGTACTCGCAGTTCATTTCGTATTCATGCACTTTACAATTTCTTGTTTCCGATGCAGGCCAACAAATGCTTGGCCAGGCCACAATGGTTCGGCTTGGCCAGGGGACACAAATTGGATGCACACAAGGAGCGGAGCAGGACTCCCCGGGTTTCGTTTGGGTAATCATCTGCTCCTGAGTGCTTGAGTGGTCTTTAAGCTATCTGCTGGCTGGTGATGGATAGAAAATGACTGCACTCCAGTTTCCAGATGGGGAATATGATTTATGGCAGCGCCCGAAACCACAGAAGCTCTTCTCTCAGCTAAGGTAGCATATTTGTTAACCCATGTAGATGCCAAAAAATGGATGTAGGTAAGTGAAAGCAACACCTCTTTTGGGTGAACTCTAACGTGGATAAATTGGATGTGCTCTTTGCCCGATTATATAGATCATGTTGCACCTTTGAAATGGTCTGAGGTAAACTGTATATTTAAATCGATAAAATAATTAAATTTATTTATTTCCAATTATGGAACATTGGCTGCCAAAACTCAACTGATAGCTCAACTGGATAATAAAAATAGCTTTTTCTGACATATTTTCCGTTGTTTGTATTCGTGTCAACAATAACATGTGCTGATTATTGCGTTCATGTGGAAAGTGTTTTATTATTCTTTCATCTGACATTACCTGGTAAGCTCTGATTTGTGGTGGATGCAGATAATTTAATGATAATTTAATTGAGAGCCTGCTGTGCGTATTAAATGTATTGAGGAATCGCTTCAATTCAATTAATGAATTCGTTTTAGAATCACTATTTTATTTTAAAAGGATCTTTTCAGGTTATAATATTGTATATTATTAATTTAATTTGATTTATTGCAATCTCAGACGTCGTTTGTGCATAATTTTCTCGGTGATCGAATTTAAGTCTAATAGGATTGCTTGAAAAATAACTATTATATAAATGAAATAACCTTTTTCGGTTAAAATATTCCCCATAGACTATTAATAGGTGATTTTGATTTTATGTGGTTGGAAGAATATATATATTTAAGGCCCACTGTACTCAACACTGCTTGATAGTTACGTATGTTTACGTAGCTTACGTACAATTCCCCGTTAGTTGTAAGTGTAACATTGTCATTCCTTTCGGTCAAGCACATTTACGGTATAAGATCAAATGTGTATCTAGCTCGCTCACACAAATAGGAGAGCATAAGAATGAAAGAGCCCAGTATTCTGGGGCTTGCTTCAAAACTAAGAAAGGAGAATATACATTCATATACATATATATACATATATATGTATATATAATAAACCATGATGTTTTACTTCTTATATTTATATTGGAAACCTTTCGTGTTTTATTAATGTTTTTTTAAATTATGTATTTTTTTTTAATTTTAAATTTTCAAATTACAATTAAAAAATAAATTATCTTATATGTATGTATGTTTTTTACTTATAAGAGTATGTAGAGCCCGTTGAAATGGCTTTACATTGCTGCATTGTTTACCCGAACTGCATTTAAATAGCAACACCCACACACATGCAATCACGAAGCTTGTTCATGCATTCTTTGGCCGACGATCGACTTTAACAAAAACAACTTGGCAACAATGCAGGAGCAGCGCAAATATCGAAGGGAAACACGTGCGGCGCCTGTCGACTGGCGACAATTATTACAAGGACGATGAGCATAAACAACACAACGGCAACATCCTGACAGACGGAAACGCAAACACGGCACTCATACGAACTCACTCACTCACACGCATACACACACAGAATGGCAGTCACGGTATTTACATACCACAGCACGTGCGGCTGTATTTGTGGCACCATTTATAAAGCAGATATATGCGACACAAAAACCTCGCATTATGTCAAATGTTTTGTTTTGTTTGTGCTTTATGCGCGCAGGGATGTCAACGCCCGTTGTTTTCGTTTTGGCCAAGAGTACGTGCCTGTTGAATTGGCGCGCCCGAGCTCGGATTTAGTTCGCATTTTTACTGGCCAATCGAGCACAAATTAAACCCGGATCAGGGACCTGGCCAAAAGCACTCGATTCAGCAATCGCTGGCTAAGCACTCGACCGACCGCTTTCAACCTGAAGTTTTGTCCGGCTTAACTTGCAGCCAAAGTTTTTCCCTTTCTGCTAACAGAGGGAAAGAGAGAGAAAGAGAGAAAAAAATGTAAGCACAATTGGGTCAATACACTGCCAAATCGCTGTGCTCAAGACAGGGATTTGTTGCCAACAGGAAAAGGAAATAGCCAAGGGATACGAAGTCACAGGAAAATAATCGCCGAGTCCTTGACTTTTTCTCAAGTTCAATCCTGACTACGTTGCAACATTGCGATAATTGATGTCTGCAAATTGTTAATTATCCTCAAAGCAGGATTCAACATCCATATCCGCTTGCGAGGTACTTATTAGCCGCTTGCTTTGTGAATTTCAGATCTCCACCTCTGATGGTCGAAATCCGGTCAACCAAGACTGTTCAATTATACTAATGCTATTATATCGGCATTACGCATACGCAGTGTGTGCACCCAATGGATACCCGTAAAATGCAGATGAAGCATTAAGATATTATTTGTGGGCTTCCCTCATCTGAGTGCAATTATTTGCAGGATATTTAAGGTGATTCGCGCCAAGCGCTTAAATATTTCACTCAGCCTGGGGAGGCTTTTTGGTATGTTGTGCCAAATAATTTATCTAAGCAACACATTCCGAACCGAAAATTTCAAGCCACAAACTGTCAGACTGACGATGCGGCTGCTGGCGGCAATAAATCTTGAAGTTCATTAAAAAGTTTATTTATATTTCACCTGCTGTGTGCGAGGGTAAGAAGTCTGGCAAGTGTCAAAGAAATAAAAGCCCGAATTGCCGACAAATCTTTGTTAAGCTTGACCTTGACTGATGGCCTCTCATAAGAAGTCGCTTACACAAAAGTTGCAACAATCAAATCTAATGCCTTACTCAGAAAGTGGCTGTAAACAGGGTGGTAAAATGAGGAATAAACTGGGCTTAAATAAGTACTTTAAACAAATTTAATTTGAAAATTAAAACGTAACTGTAATAAAATAAATTTAATACAGTACATGAAATTGTAGAAAACTTAAGAATTAGTTTTTATTTATAGAAATACTTTGAACTTTGAACTAAATAGAATAAAAAACTGTATATAAATAAGTAATTGAAATAAAAAGGGATTTTGAGTTTAAATATTTATTTCTTAAATGATTTTACACAGGAAAGTAAAGAAAACCTTAGTTTTATTTTGAACAGAATTTTCATTTTAATATTATGAATAAAGCTATCGAATTTAATTTCAATGGCAATCTGCTAAGTCCATTGCACTTTTAATTGATTACTGTTCTTCACTCTGTTAATTAACACCAAAAAAAAGTAACTACAAAGCTGGTGCATCGGGATTTTTGTATTTGTCCAAATATATGCATTCATCAGCTTCATTCAACTAAAAAGTGTTTCGCCATTGAAGAGTCAACCAGAGCGCCATCAAAAGGAAGCGCTCCAATAAGTTTGAATGGCATCACAGATACACACTTCCACATACACGAAATTCAAAATGTATCTGCATGGCGAAGAGGAGATATGAAAGTGTGTGGCTTCGTCCTTGCCTTTGTATTTGTTAACAACAAAAAAGGGCTGGAAGGTTGGGGTGTTATTTTCTGGCTTTAATTAAGATATGACTGGAAGAGTCCGCATTTGGTGCGTATATGAGTGCGTATGAATTGATAGCAAAATAATAACCAAACTTAAAGCCAAACCGCAGCCCAACAAAAAGTAATGCCACACATATTTGCCTGCCAGAAACGCTACAAATAAATCTGCAAAAAATAAATCGTTGCTGTTAAACAATAAGATTATTTTAAAAAATAACGCTTACCCAATATTGATTATTTTCACAAATCCTGTAGAGTATATTAAAAGCAAGCATTCAAAAGAAAAAAAAGTTAAACCATAAATATTAAAAGCCAGGAATTTTATAACTGAATCTGCGAAATATGTAATGTGTAAATTATGAGATATAATGCGACTTAAAAAAATAAACTTACACGATATTGATTATGTTTTTTAATCTTGTACAGTATACAAATCGGTCAAGGTTATGTAGACAAAAATAATAGCAAGGTGTAAAACATAAAGGATCTTCCAGTGTTGCTATAGTTATAAACTCCAACTACTACGGGAAACATCCAAATATCTGGGAACGAAACGGCAGAGTTTTATTTTTTGCTGTAAATTTAAATAATAAAGTTAAAATACAGGGAACCCATAAAAATATAAAAAAAAAAAAATACAGACTTAACTAATGATGCAGTTCGTTAGAGAACTAAAATACAAGATTTTAGATGAATACCACCTTCAAATTCTGCTTAAAATTAGAAAAGATATGGACTTAGAATTTGTGCATTTTGGGAATAAGTAATTCGAAGATAAGCCACCTTTTATAGCTTTCTGTTCACCTGGTACTTTAAAATGGGTTTGAGCCAAAAATTGGGCTTGGCTGACCGATTTTGAAGAGTCCAATTGGAACTCTCAGATTTCAAATACCAGGCCAACAGAATTCATTAGATTGGAGTTTTAATTGTGGAGGTGCTCTATAAAAAAGTGTAACATTCTTTTGGGAAAATAGAGTTCGAAAAGTAGCCACCTACTACAGCTTTCTGTTCGCCTGGAACTTTGCTTATTTTGCGGATCAAATAAAAATAATTTAATTGTAAATACGTGATTCTGTTTATAGTAAACTTACCTTATCCAATGTAACTAAAAGGTTTCAAGAGTGGTCTTAATTAATTGAAATACAATAAGGCTGTGGAGTGGAGGGACTCTTGATGGCCCACCGAAAGTTTCTGTACCGCCGGAGGCAGCGCACCTCAATCGCCCCTCAATCGCAGCGAACATCGTACGCGGAGCACTCGCCGAAGTCGGACTTGAGGGTAAAGTACAAGCCCACTCCGATGGCAGCCACCAGGAGGAGGACCCCCAGCCAGTAGACCAACCGCCAGAAGGGCCAGGAGGATTGGTGCTTCCTCTTTTGGGCAGGCTCGTTCTTCACCTCCTCGTCTGCTTCAACTCTTTGTGGTTGGCGGCGCAACTTGTTACCCATTTCCCTGCGATTTCAACTTTGGCTTCCAATTTTCAGTTCGCAGGTCTCCCCCCTTTTTGCTGATAATTGATTGGATTTTCCCGGGCAACTCGACGGCAGCAGAATGATAACATTTTATTGAAATTACTTAAACATCTTGTAGGCTGAGATTCATCTCGTCGGCAAAACTTTCGCCTAATTATTTAAGTTAATTGGCCTTTGTCCGCAAAAGGCCAAGCGGAATGATGATGATGATGGGGGTTGGGTGGTTGGTTGGTTAGCTAGTGTCGGGTTCGGCTTGAAATATTTGCTCGGAGCCCACAAAATGTCTCGCAAATTTGTTCAAATTACTGGGAACACAACAAAAGTCGGCCGCCAGTGTTCGACATCCTGGCAAGCCGGACTCCATGCATAAATAAGGGGGCCTGGTTGGAATATAAAAGGACTTTGTTTGCGGTTGAGAGATGAAAAGTCATTTCTCTCCATTATTTGCGAACTAATTGGTGGGTTGGTCGGTTGGTTGGCTGGCAGGACTTGTGCATTTCACTTGCCCAACTGAATTCCAAAGAATTTCCAGAATTTTGTGAGGTGTCAAGAGCTCGACCATCGCTTTTCGGCTTTTGCTGTATCAATTAAGTGGCCGAATTGCCCAAATGAAGGATGCAATTTTGTGGAAAGACCATCGCCATGTGAGGCACTTAGGCTACATATACATGCTGTGGATGTTATTTTCTCCAAGATTTAAGTGGGTTTTGCCTGCGAGATTTCCCCCGGTGGCTGTCCTTTGGAATTGCCGCTGCTGCCATTACTGCTTCAATTTCAGTTTCTGTTTGATGTTAATGAAAGTTTCCGTCGTGCAAATAAAGCCAAAAGCATGGAAATCAGTAAAACAAATTGCAATCTGCTTTTTATCGCACGTCGCTGCATGACTGCTGCCTGCTGGCATTTTCCTTGCTCCGTCATCGATTGCCTGACTTCTTTTTTTTTTCCCTACTTTCCCAGGCATTTCCCCAGCCCTTCTTCCCCCATTCCAATCTATACCCCCCACCCCCTCTACATGCCCTCCCTTTGCTGGCCAGGCTATTGACTTGCTCATTATGGCCCTGATGATGACTGCTCTTGCTCCAGCGAACTGCCGCTGTATATCTGCGAGCTTTGGTTCCGTTTCATTTTCCATTTTCCTGCCAAGAAGAAGAAGAAGAAGAGGAGTGAGCATAGCTCTTTTCATTCCGCACCCGTATCGGGGTTCGGCAATCGGTGGCCTTCCATAAATTGTTAATATATATCTTAACGGATATTCAATTTCCGTCGACCAAGAAATACATTAAATTCGTAACAAAGCTAAGCCGCTTCAACCGAAAGATGGCAAAATTGTTCAACTCCAGCGGGGTATTATTAAAAATTCAAAGTCGTTATAGAATAGCAAAACTTTCGCAGTCCGGGCCAAGACATAATAATAATATATAGAGTGGAGGAGTGGAGGAAGAAGTGCAGGAACTGAAAATAAGGAATGGTCAGGACAATGGGGAGACAACAGGCAAACTATGAACTGGAAGTCTGCGAAACTGCCGGATTGGGAAGCTGGTAAACTGAAGAACTGAAAAACTGAATAACTGAGAAACTGAGATGCCGAGAAGCTCAACTATGCGCAAGTTGGCTGTCCGACTGTTTATTTTCAGTAGACTTCGTCTTTCACTGGTCTTCGGCCTTATTACGCTCTGTGGCCCATCATCTGCATGGCCTTCAAAGGGGTTAGGGGCGGGGAGGGGGTGGAAAAAGTGGGTGGTGGGGGTGGCAAGTTGTCAACTAACTTTGCAACAATAATCGCCAACGTCGGAGGAGGAGGAAAAGTGACAGAAAAGTGAAGCAGCAGCAGCAGCGGCAGCTCACAGATAAAAACCAGAAAACAATAAGACTCTAGGCTGACTTTTATTCAGTATCCTTGGGTACTCCACCTCTGGCACTGCAGCGTTTACCCTCGAAAAAGCAAAGGTCCTCAAAAGGAGCAAACAGCAGCAAATAGGCTGTGCGGCGAAGGATCTCTTCAGACTTTCGAGCCGACGTGGCACAAAGGCGTGATTGCTTTTGCCTTTTGTTTGGCCAGTCGAGAGTGAAGAGGCCTCAAAGGGTGGCAGAATGTGTGAACAGGTTGATCTGTCCTTAAGGCCGGGTTCTTATTTTGATAAAGTCTATGGAAGAGGCTGCACAAAAATTCATTCATTTTAAGGGGTTTCAAAAGCAATTAGAAGGCTTAGTTATAAAACTTATAAAACTTTATTAAAGAGAAATCAAAAACAAAGTAAAAGGAAACAACTCAATTAAGTTGCTTACTGCTATAAGCTTTGGATTTAAACTTTATTTAAAAATATAAGTATTTATGTGGTAATATAATATTATATAATACATAGATCCAGAAAGTATTTTCATATAAAGAAAGTGTTTTTCATATAATAAAAGTTTTAAGTAATTACTTCTTTTTTCAAAAAAGTAAAAGTTTGAAGTTTGTAATACCTATATTATTACCAACCAAATAACAAAACGCATTACAGGCAAATTAAATGTAAATATTTTTAAAAATGCTGTATATTAATCATAATCATAGATATTTGTACCATAGACCAATTAAACATTTTCCCTTCTAAAAAAGAAGAGGTTCGTTTATAATAAATCCCATTCTTAATGTAAAATGTATTTAAACTTTCCAAACTAAATGTATCAACTGAAAGCCAAACAATTTCATTTGCGAACCTCTTTTAAATGTAATCCCATTTAATTAAATAAATCAACTTTCTGGCGCACTAAACTATTGAATTAGCAACCCCGCCGGGGGGTTCCTAAAAATGTCTATCCAATTTCTGGAGGGCAAAGTATGTCCTCCAAAAAGGACGAAAAGAAGGAAGGGAGACGGCGGGATAGTGTGCGTGGCATATGTAAATTTCAGGCTAATTAAAATTAGCATATATTCCCCCTTTTCTGCGGGGACACATGCGTTTGTGTGTGTGTGTGTGTGTGTGTGTGTGTGTGTGTGTGTGTTGGTTGGGGCACCATTATCTGGCTCAGCCGCAAGAAGACGTGGAAAACTACGCGCTCGGAGCTGATTAAAAGCGAAAGCTAACAAGCGTTTGCTCTTTGCCCCGCTGCCCCCTTGCAACATATGCTCTCCTGCCACGCCCCCTCAACAACCCACGCCCCATTTTTGCCAGAAGGGTCTTCTGTGTCATTTTGGCTCCGCATTAGAGTCGTAAAAATTTATTGTATTATAACTTTTTTTTTTGTCTGAGCCGGCGGGCTTAAGGCATAATGCCTTTTAATTAAACCGTTGAGATGTGTGTCAGACATAAAATAAAATAAAATGAAATGAAATATCATTTTGCATACGCATTTGTGCTTAAATTGTTTTCCTCTCAGAGCGTTTGAGCTGGCTTTAGTCGATTACAAAGCTTCGTATTAATTATGATAATTATGCGTAAGCGCTGGTTGGTTGGCATTTTAATTGCTCATACGCCGTGCTGCACATTGCACGAAAAATGCAAAAGAAGAATGAAACCAGAAAAGGAAATTGGGAAAACGCCGCAAAAAAGGGAAATTCCAAAAGTATAATAATAACCATTAAATTTCATAATAAAAATCTTGTAAATTACAAAATTCCCAGGGGCAACGAACATCAATTTGTAGTTGAGTTCACTTGGTTTGTTTTTTTTCGACGATGCATTGTCCTTGGTCGAGTCCTTTGTTAATTGCCGGAAATGCAAATGGGCGTTGAGTGGAGAGAGGTGGGTGGTTGGGTGGTTGGGTGGTTGGAGCTCTGTCGACCATAAATGATTTCCATTTTAAATGCGTGCGAACCGCTTTTACATTTTACCATTTATTTACATTGGAGGTGAGCCAGCTTCCTTTTTTTTTTTTTGTTGGGATCCACTTTGTACGCAATTTTCGTTTCTTTGGCCCTTGTTTGTTCCTTTTTTTTGGTGTTGGTGGGACAACAATTCGCCTTGGCTTCACACCAAATTTGATTTCATTCGCAAGACACTCTCAGGTTAAATGGTGCAGAAACAACTGTTGACTTGCCGGCCGGCTGACCGACCCCAAGTAGGATCCATGAATGAATTTAAAAGCCACTCCTCCTCTTCAGAGGGAAAAGTTCTCAGCCAAAAAGGGCACTCATCGAAATGTTTGATCTTTTTAATGGTACTTTGTTTCACCCAATCGAAACTTATGCTAACTCCTATTCTTATATACTTTTATTGCTTTTGGTCAGCAAGTACAATTTTTATTGACGTACTGTAAAAATGAAGAATATACAATGCTATCTGTATAAAATCGCTTTCTTGACTTATTCAAATCAATTAGATACTAAAAATCTACCAAGAGAAACGAAAAAAGGAATTCTTAGGTTAATCATACAATACCCAACCTATTTATTTTATTTAGAGTAGATATTTAAATCGGATTAATGATTTGTGTATCTAATAAAACATTTAGGAAACTACCTTTTGTTATAATGGGATCAAAGTTCAATTTTCATTTCACTCTCAGTGATGACCTAGCATGTAAAATATTCACACAGTGTTCTAACTAAAAACCAACCTCAAATGATTTTAAACGTCTGTTAGATATACACTTGAAGTGAAGTGGATATACAGATTGAAATGAAATGGCCTGGTAAAAACCCCACTCCAGAGAATTTGAGGGAAAAAAATATTCAAACTTCTTAATGGAAAATAAAAATCAAATGGATCACAACTTTTTTTCTATATGGGCAAATCCAGGCTGCTGTATCTCTATAAATAAATGTCACAAGCTGCACTAGCAATGCGATTTCAATGCGAGCCATCCGAGTGCCCTCCATTCGCTGTCAATTTGTATGCTTTCTGGCGCATTTGCATAACAAAATTGCCATGCATTTCTCATTCCGCTCCGATTTTTTGTCGGGTCTCGCACTCTGAACTTTCGAACGCAGTCCAAGTCGCAGAAAGAGAGTCGGTTATCCATTTGCAGCTCAGCAAGTTTTGACTGCCGAATGTCAACAAAATAAATGCATAAATAAGGAGATCATCGTGTCAAGGAGCCGCATTACCGCCCCGCCTCCCCCTCTTGATGCCACGCCCCCTTTACCCATTTACCCACGCAGAGGTTTCAATATAACGAGATGATGAAAAATGTTTGAGTTCTGCATTATTAAAGTTCTTGGCTGCCAGTTGGCAACTTTTCACGTGCTGATAAATGGCTTCGAGCTTCGGGGAAAAAAAAGGAGAAATAGAACGAAAACTATTCCATCTTCACGCCGGGTGCGAACATCCTTCAATTGAAATATATCTCCATTTTCCTCAGGCTATCGCTCTAAATATATATATATATATGTGCTTATACGTGTGCATTGGAGTTGGGAAAACTCATGCACTTTTGCTGGATTTTCAGAGGTTGAGTTGCAATTCAAAGCACCTCTTTTAAGTTTGTCTGGCACTTATAATTAATTAAATGCGAATTACTTAACCAATCCCCCTTTGATTTGAATGCCATTAAAAGATTGCCTTATCCCTTGGGGGGTTTTTCTTTTCACATCAATTCATTTATTGTAAAATATGCCGGTCTTAGGGCCAAGCTTTCTTGTTTTCCTTTGTTTTTAGTCGCTTAACTTACAGGACATAAAATTAATGTATACATAAGATAGTTCATAACTTAATTGCTAAATGCATTTTTTAGCTCTTATGGTTTCTGCCCTTCGCTCACTTCATTTGTTTCATTTTGTTTGTTATTTTTGGTATATGCAAAACAGCAGAAAATAGTTCAGTTTCAGTTTCGGTTTCGATTTCAGTTTCAGTTTCAGTTTCTTGATGCGTGAAAACTTGCATATCATCGGCTTCTGTTTCTGTTTCTGTTTCTATTTCTGACTCGATCTCTTTGGCATTTTGCGACTCCATAGGTTTCGGTTCGGTTTGGGGTAAATGGGTTTTTCTTTTTTTTTTGGATTTCGACTGAAGCAGACACTTAGTAAGCGGGAAAACGAATGCGTAGAGACTATTTTATGGTACAACAATTACAAGTACAAGTACATTTACCAACGCTATAACTAGAAGATGTGTACTCCATATGACTGATATGCTGACTTAGGCTACAAAGTTCTCTGTATATTTATTATTTGTCTGAGATTAGCCTAAGCGAGTTTAGGCTTTTTACACATTACAACTAGATTAGATTTAGATTTAGTTTTACGGGGGGAGGGGGGAGGGAATATTATTTCTAGACACATTAACTCTGAATTCGCTTAAATGATATGCTCTCTCTATCTCCCTCTCACCATCCCCTTTTCTCTCTCTCTCTGTCTCTTTCTTTCTCTGTCTGTCTCGCTTTAGTTTGGAGCTAGTGCGGAACTTAAGCCTCTATGAGATCTTGTTGAAAGACCAAAGAATCGAATATTTATACGGGTAGAACGGGCTGTGTGTTAGCTTGCCAACTAAATTACGCATACGCCTAGGTGTAAGCTCCATTCGAAATTTAATGCTACAACTTAGTTCTGATCGGTTTTTGTTTTTGTTTTTCCTTTGAGTATTTACAATGTTTGCTCTTCTGTTTTTGTTTTTTTTTACACTATTAACTACGATCTTTTAGATCCCAGATTCCGAATTCCAGATCCAGATCCACTATCCCACAGACAAACAGTGGACTCCCAACTATAGTAGGCATGGCTCTGGTGGTTCACTGTAGCGGTCTTACTGTACTTTATATCTCCCCCACTCACTTACGCCTGCCCGGCGGCAACGAATTGAACCACTTTGTTAACGGCTTTCGCCGTTGTCGCTGCCGTTCCCGTTGGCGCTGCTGTTGTTGTTGTTGTTGTTGCAGCAGCAGCAGCAGCAGCAGTTGCACCGGAAACGGAAACGGGAACAGAAACGGTAGCCTGACACTCAACGGCGGGCAGGCGCTTGACCAGCATCCGGCTTGACTTGACCGCTATCCATTCGTTGCGAGCGGCATCGAACCAAGTCAGCCCCAAGTTGTATCGCCCATTGAGATTGGCGTGCTGGCAATGAGAGAACCACCAGCCACCCTCATAGTTGGCAGCACAGTGCGTCTGCGAGATGTCCCGATCGTCGTCAATGGCCGAGAACTGCATTCCCTGCTGGTAGTTCAGTGCATCCGAAGCGTTCCCCGAATAGCCGGCAATGTGCAACCGATAGCCATCGTTGCGGGACGAAATGTAGAACCGCGAGTACTCGGCCACCCAGATGTCGTCGTAGATGTCCTGCATCTGCACCTGCAACCGGCTGCAATTGTCGAGGGTCAGGTGGTGCAGCTGCTCGTTGCCAATCCAGAACTCGCCGCCGGGCGTTCCGAATCCCCGGGCGTAGTCCGCCCACGAGCGATTGAAGTCGGCGCTGCCGTCGAACCGCCGCTGAACCGTCGTCCAGCCGTCGGCGGTGCAGTGCGTCATCAGCGGATGCCTCTGGCCCGCCGGCGCAATCAGATGCAGTCCGTCTGTCTGGGCTTGCACCTCGCTGCAATCGTGCGGCAGCTTGTTGATGATGGCTTCGTACTGCGACTCCACGTTCTCCAGTTCGCTGACCAGCGTTTCGGCCAGGACGGAGTCGATGGGTTGATCCTCCTGCGGCGACAGCTCCTGATGGTTGTTCTGGTTGTTCGGGCTGCTCTGGTGGTGCGGTCGCTTGTGGGGCTTGTTCAGGTGCGAGAGCTGCGGGCGGAGACAGGAGTAAACGGAAATCCGTGTTAGCCAGGGGTTGTGTGTAAAAGCATAAGGTTGAGCAATAAAACTAGGGTTTAATTAAGGGGTTAATTAACAATTTAATTGGTAACTTTTAAAGTTAAAAGTTGAAACTGGTTGCAAGCAGTGGAAATTGATTCCCTTGTCAATATTCTGATTATATTTGTCGTCAAAATCTAATATTAAAATAAAACGTTTAAATGTATTAAATATGAAGCAAGCAATATTCAGGAAAAATTAATCGCCTTGAGATTTATTAAATTATTCAATCTTTAGTTTGTTAAAATCAAATGTCATAACATATCGTACAACTCAAAAAATTAAAAAAAATGCTAAAGTTAAAACCCTTTAATATTTAGATTTTAGCTGTAATTGATTTTTTCTTAATTAAATGCAAAACTTTTGTGTTTAAAAATATTTAAAATAAAATAAGAGAACTACTAAAATTCTATGAATATGGAAAATGTTGTATAAAATATGAAATGTAATAACACTAAATAGTGTTATTAAAAGCTCACCTTATTTTGCTCCTCATTGACCAGGGATTGCAGTCGATCCACGTTGGTCCTCAGCTGGTCCACGTTGGAGGTCAACTTGCGCATCCCTTCGCGCTCCTCCTGCAGGACACTCACACTGACAGCCATCGCTTGCAAGGATCGGGCCGCATTGGTGCCCTCCTCCCTAATCAAACTCTGCTCCGAGGTGATCTGCGCATTGGCGAACTCCAGCTTGGAGATCTCGTGTCTTAATTCCGGGATGCTCTTGTCCATTTTGGTTTGGAGACCCTCCACATCCTCCAGGAGTTCCAGCATCGAAGTGTGCAACTTGTCCAGCGAGGCAATCTGGCTGCTCAGATTGAAGTTGGCATTGGCGATCCTGTGCTGCTCCACCTCGATGTTGCGAACCCTTTCATCGATGTGATGGAACTTCAATCCGTTCACCTGGCGGCGCAGATTTCGGTGGGCCATTTGCAATTGGTGGATCTGCTCACTCTGGAAACGACAGTGACGACGCTTGTGATCCGCGGTGGATTCAACTCCAGTGGGCTGTAAAAAAAGGGGAATATTAAAATACATTTAAAAAATACACATTTAGATGCATTTATTATTTGTAGTTTGAATATTCATTTTAAATGTTGTATAACCAATTTAACGCATACAATTGATTTAATTAAAGTTATAAGAAGTTATATAAATTGTCTTATTATTTTCACAACCAAAAGTGGTTGGTAGTACATCCAATTTACATTTACTTTAATTTGTTTAAATTTATTTTATTTTAAAGCTGCTTCTATCTTTTGTACTACTTATATATATTAATGCCATTCTCTTCGTGTTTACTTGGTAGAGTTCAGATTTTATAGTTTACAATTTAATGTTCCTTAATTGCTTTAAAATTCAAATGCCTTATGGCAACTAATTTCAGAAAGTAAACACCAAAAGCTGTACCATCTATATTAATCGTTTTAAAAATTCACTTTTAGCCACCCACTTAACTTTAGTTTCTTTCCGTGGAGGAAAAAAGCGAAGCCGAGCAGGATGCGTGGCAAAAGCCCGTAAGCTGGCTGAGATTCTTTTGTCGCTCGGCGGTCTAGGATTATGTGCTGGGAATTGAATGCTAAATCCATTTATTATAAATGCGTTTCATAACGTTTCGGGCGGACTTCAGAGCGGCGGAGCGTGCCACAATAATGTCAGCTGCAGCTTTTGCCCCAAAAGCGTGTAAATCCCCAGGAGCTGGCGGAGCAGCGATGCCTCCGGCGTGGGTGGATTTGCATCCAGCTCTCAGCTTTCAGCTGGCAACCGGCAACTGGCAACTGGCAGACTGCAATCCTCGGCGGTAGAGGCTGCATAAATTTCCACACATATAAAGGGGTATACATAGTATATACAATATGCATAGAAATAATTTTGCTGAGTGACAAGCAGCAGCGAGCAGCTGTAAACCAAGGTAATGCCATTTGGGTCACATTCACCCGGCGCCATGAATGTGTTTTCTTTCCACAACGCCAAAGGATCTACTCCATATTCCATATATAATATATATAGTACTAGTACTATATATCTGCCGCCGCAGGGTTTCCCTTTTATTTTCTGTGGTCGTGGCCATCAGTCATAGAAATGTCCTCAGTAATTGACTAATCAAGGATGCTGTGGGGCACAAAAGCGGGCAGAAAGTGTCCTGCTAATGAATGCAATGAGTGAATGGAAGTAGGAATTATGATGTATATCCTGCAGAAAGGGCACAGCAAAACGAAAGTAGAAACAATTACGTTTCTTCTCTTAAAACCCAGTTTGCATCTTTTTACTTTTACTTTCCACTGGCCTTAATAAGTCAGCCTTAAAGAAAGTTAAATGAAAAATGCGAAGGCTTGGGAGTACTAATTTCTTAAACCGTATTTCTCATCTTGTATTTAAGGCTGTGAATTTTTTTTGAAAAATCCCTAAATCAATACGCAGCTTGACTTATTTCCACAGAGTCACTCGTAATTTTTATTTTCGAAAATGTTCGGCCATTTCCCCCATCGAATTCAATTATTCTTGGCAAAAAGGCCAACAAAAGATGAACAAAAATATGGGAAATATTCATGAATATTTATGCCCAAGCTGCGTTTTGTGCCTCATCGCCATTCGAACACTTTGGGCCGCTGTGAAAATGTTTTCATTGGTGGCGCAGCCACTGCTTTTTCCGCCTTTTCCGCTTTTCCACCGCCGCTCCTTTGTTTGCTTTGCCCCCAACGCACGTTTCGTTGGTGCAGTGGGTGGTTCAGTGGGTGGTTTAGTGGGTGGCACGACTGGTGGGTGGTCAGAGCCCAATCTTGGCGTTGTTTTATGTGAAAGGTCACGAACGCGGCTAATACGACACGTTCGCGTTTTATATGAACTCTGGCGGAGACGGGGAAGTGGCCATCAAAACGGAGAAATCCTCAATATATATTCGCCCAAACGTGTTTGCTCTACATCTAGATATACATATACATATATATATATCTTTATATATATAACTGTGTAGCTTAGGCGGAAAGGTGCCGGCAGTGGCATAGAAATTTCGTCCATCAACGGTATAATTAAATGTGATTTATGCGGCTCAAATTTCCCTCGCAGAGACAAATGAATTTTTTTCTGCGTGCACCGGCCACTGGAGGCGTTAATTGAAATCGAAATTGAAGCATAAATATTTCAAGTGTTTTTCGTGTGAAGTCATAAACAAAGGATCAGTGCAAAGGGGCAGGAGGAGCGGGAAGGACAGGCCATGACCAGGGAACTAATTAATTTCCTGGGCTGGCCGGGTTGGTTCAAGGATTAAAATTGAAAATTTTACATGCTGTACTTAAGTGAAAGCTAACAAGGATTTGCTATTAGCGTGACAGCAATTCCAAGGCAACCGGGGATGATGGTGCATGCCACATGAAGCAGGGAGCGGGGAGCTGGAAACAAGGAGCATTGGGCAAAAAAAAAAAGAGCAAAAATCTGCTTCTGTTCCTGCTTTGCTCCACGGCGAATTGTCGTAAAAATTTAATAGGACTTTTGTGCGATGCTTGAAAAAGTTACTTTCAGTGGCAGATAGAAAAGGGAGAGTTTTTCCGAGGCGGGGGTGAGGGGGAGGGGTGGGGAAGTCATAGGGCGCCGCAAAATACCATTAAGTTAATGCGCATTTGGGGGCCAGAAAACTCGCTCGTTGTCAGAAATGGAAAAGAGCCTCAAAGTCAACGTCAACCTGATCCCCTGGTCGAGAAAATGGGAAAACGGCAGACGTGTGCATAATTTGAAACTAAGATATGGCCCGCAAATATTCCGCATTTAATTCGGAAGAGAGAAAGACAAGGAAATCTGAGGCCTGGACAAATGTTTCAATAAAAATAACCCGCCGACTCGTGATACGTATTGTATATCAAAATCATAAGTGTAGCAACCCAGCTACATTTGCACAATCAAACAAATTGCCAACAGAAGTGGAGAAGATGGCAGGTTGGTAACATGAAACAAAGGCAGAACAAATATCAACATAAATAAGGTAAAAATGCCAGGCACTATATATGTATATTCCAACGGGGGGAGGGAAGGGTGGTGGTAAGTGGGAGTTTTGTGGGGCAGGCAGATATACAAAGAAACCGAAACCGAAACCGGATTCACCGTGTCAGGCTGCCTTGGGCTCCTACTGCTCCTCCTCCTGGTTTTATTTCTTTCTTTCCCGGGCCTTGTGTGCCTGGCATTTGTTTGCCTTGCTAATTTAACAGCCAGGCTCTCCATACGAACAATATATCCATACCATCCCGGAATCCCCTGCCCAAGCGATGCGATAGTAGCATCAATAACCAATGATAAACATTTGTATTTTGCCTTCCCTCTTTCGGAAGAGCCCGAATTTCTTGGCCCAACTGTTGCAAGTGACAGCCTTCATCAAAGCAATTTGTTACAGGAGTGCGTGAACACATATGAATGTATCGGAGGCATCAATCTGCAGACAGTTTGCAATTAGAGATGGCAAATTATATTTGGCTTTGCCCCTGTCAACGGCAGATGTTTATGGGTTCAAGTGTTATCACCTTCGAGCAGGGAAATAAATACACACCTCTGACTCTTGGCCACTAAATCAATCTTATTACCGCAAATTAGTTTGCCTCAATGTGTTATTAAATCTATAGCCATTAGTTCAAGTTTCGCATGCTTGGCAGAGAAACTAACTAGAAATTGATAGCAAATGTTCAACGACTAAAAATAAATATGAAGGTTTAGTTGCCAGGTAATTTCTACAAAATAAAAATAAATATCTATCTCTAGCTTAAATTCTCTATGGTTACCTGCAAAATGTGTATCAAATATATTTTTACTTATTTTTGTAGCTTTTGCTTGTGTACATTTAATATTTCCACCAGGCATTTTTCCCAGAATTCTCAGTCTCTGGTTTCCGTATAATTCCCAAAGGTTTGTCGGGTTTTTGCATAACTTTACTGGCTTTGTACTTTTTTCCCCGGCTAATCAAATAAAGAAAAGTTGATTAAATTTAACCAGCCACACACACACACAAAGCAAATTGTTGTCTATTTTTTTGTTTATGATATTCTCTTCCGTGGCGGCCACCTGTGCAATTTATTGTATTTTGGTTTTTATTTATTTTCCTTTTGGCAATCCTTGAGCTGGTTCTCCTTTTCCATCTGCCCTCCATATTTTTTCCCTTTGGCCTTTGTTATCTGCTTTTTGCTCTTTGTTCTAATTTAACCTAATTTCTGCTTTGCTGCGCTTCTATAATAACAATTTTCAAAAATTGCTTTTGGTTTTGCGCTGAGAAAGTTCAAGAACTGGTTTTTGTTGGTCAAAAGGCGCCCCCTCATCTCACAGTTTTGTTTTTGGTGGGAAAGACAAAAAAGAAGGCTGGAATGAAAAGGATCAAATTGTGCTGAAGCCTCGCGATGAGGGGGGAGTGGGGCATGTGGCAGGGGAACTGATTATCGGAGCACTCGAGAGCATCTGCCACAGCTCCATCTTCTTCTTTCCACTCTGCAACTCCAACTCCTGCTGCTCGGCTGCCAAAAAGTTGGCAAGACAAGAGACAAAAGGCTGATGGCTGGCCCTCCGTCTGTCCATCAGGTTAACCTAAGCCAGTTCCCAAAAGCAGCTGGCCAGTGAATCCCCTCCCCCCTTCCCCTCCCCCTTCCCCCCGAAAAAGCGCCCCCCCTTTGACTCTGAGCGATTAAAAGGTGATTTCCTGCTTTTTGTTTTGCAATTTTCAGCAATTTCGCTTTATATTTGGCAACGGCCTGCACATTAATGATATATAAACACACACACACACACACACAAGCAGGCAGTTGGGGATGGGAGGATATATTGTTATATGGTTATATATATTATATGATGCGTGTGCTCTGAGGTCCGGCGAAAGCCGCTTAAGCTGCCTGGCTGAACACTTAATCTCCTCCTTGTGCTTAAGGAGTCTCAAGGGTATATCGAACCCGAATTGGGGGTTAGCCTTGGTCAATCGATCTCAACGGAATATAGATGAAGCACTTTGGGTCAATGGAACTAATTGAAACACCTTAGGGTAAGTGATAAATACTTCTACAAATCTGTTTAATTGTTTGCATTACTAAGCATTTGTTAACTTTCGTTCATGCCAAAATAAACAAAATTTCTATGCAGTTAAACAATGCTAATTTAATTGTTATATTTCACATTCATTATTAAATTTTATTTTCAATAAATCTAATATGAAATAGTGGGTATCTTATAGTCTCAACCCAATCTCTCCATCTTGTTATCCGCTTGTATTTTTCTTAAATTTCTATTTCGCCCCTTGAAGTTCACAAGTAATTGCTTTAGCTCGTTGAAATTTCTCCGCTTTGTGGGCGAACAAGGAACATATACAATTTCCAACCAAGCAAGCGAATTTCGCTGGCAAAAAAATATATATATTATATAATAGTATACCCGCCTCTAAGCAAGCAAATTTCGCCTGAGCCAAACTTCAAAGTGGAGCGAAGAACGCTGAAGGAAAAGAAGCCAGCGACCAGATCAAAACAGGTGGCAGTCAAACCAGTTTAAAGGGGGGAAAAAGGAGAAGAGGGGGGAGAAGTGGGAAAAAGGGGGAAAAGTGGGGAAAAGGGCACACTGACATATTTCGTTGATGGTCGAACGACGTAACCGCATACTCATATCGAAGCGAAGAGGAGTTGGCGCATAATCCTTTTAATGAAGCAACCTGGAGCTTGTTACCTGGCTTTACCTGTTGGCAGCTGCCTTTGTTTTCGCCCCAAGTTGCCCCATTGTTAATGCTGACGGTGCCTTGCTGCTTGCTGCTGCTGCTGCACAAGTCCTTTATTGACATTAATTATAATTAAGAAGGCGGTAGGGTGCCGAGTCCTTCCATTCGAAGTCCTTCCACACACACATGATGCCCTTCGAATGCTCCAGCTTGGGATCCGATTTCCGCAACTCCACTCTGACTTATTTGCCCATCATTCACTGTAAGCCTTGACATGAGAGCCCTCCTAAATATGCCAGGACTCGGACGAAAGGATGCCACCGATCATGGCTTCATCACAGCCAGCAATCTTCTTAGGATTCGTTTGGAATCCAGGAATCCATAAACCCAGGAAACAGGACCCCGAATCCAGGAACCCCGGACATTAAGGCATTGAACGTGGGCCTAAGTGGCTGCCAGGGGCGAGCCGGCTTTGGCATTAAATATTAAATACGACAACGTCCTGCGGTGCGTATGAGTAATTTGGCCAGCGTATGTGTGGCGGGCCATTAAAACGGCGAGTAAAAGGCGGATTGCGACTTCGGTACCCGCTCGTTAGCACATCGTGCCACCCACCCACCCAGCCTACAGCAACTCAACCCACTTTAACCCAACTTCAGGCCACCTTAACCCTCCGTAACCCTCGACATTTAGCGCTCTCCACCTGAGCAGAGGGTTCGCCGCATAAAGTGAGGCATAAAACGGGCAGATAATGCCCCGCCAGGTTGGCGGTCTCTTTATGGGACGCACTTAAGGCGAAAACAAAACAAAGCAGCGGCTTTCTTTTGGGGGCCATAAAAAGGACACACTGCGAGAAGTAAGCCCCATTATGTGCCTTGTTTTCCATGATCCCTTTCCTCTGTCAACATTCGCAGTAAAGCGAATTAAAATTTAAGTTTTTAAACACCAGTAAGTAAAGGAATAAGATACTGCAGGATAATATATGAACTACAAATCAATTGTAATATTCCCAAGGTTCTCTATTGGGAATCATTCTTTAAATAAAAGAGTTTAGCACTTTGACACATAAATAAAAGTTAATAGCTTTTATCTGCCCACAATTTTTATGTTAAATAAAATACTAAATTAATTCTACCACGAATGAAATTTATTATTATTTTAATTAATTAATAAAAAGTATTAAAGTTAAACGATTTGTTACCAAAAAAATGAAATGTGAATTTTTCACTGGTCTAGTTAATTTGTGTTACATATATAAATATTATTCATATGTGAATTTTCTGTTTCCTTTAAGTTAACCACTTTTCAGTTAAAAATTTAATTTTTAAAAAATTGTATATTTCCAAACTTTTGTATAGTAATCAAATACTTTATTTAAGTACAAAAAACACTAATTTATTTTTCCCGGTGCTGAACTCTTTCACCTTTGGGCTCGCGTGCTTATCTGATGATTAGCATAAAGTGGGTACTCACCTCCTGGCTAACTTCCTGGCTGCCGCTCTCCTCCTCCACGCTGGCCGATCCGCCATCCTTGCGTACCTTGATCCTTCGCTGCTGCCTGGCGAGTGCGTGCTGGAAGTCCTGCTCCTGCTGGAGGAGCTCCTCCCGAAGCTCCTGGACATAGACCTCCGTTTGCTGCTGGCGTTCCCGTTGAGCGGCCAATTCCAGTTTCAGCTGCTGGTAGTCACTGCGAATGGTGGCCAAATCCTCGAAGGTGGAGCTCCGCTGCTGCACATCCTTGGCCACATTTCCCGCCGTTCTCTGCAGATCCACCAACTGTTTTCGGATCTCGGAGATGGTCTGTTGCAGCCACTCGACGGTCAGGCGCTCCTTATTGCCACTCTGCGAGGATCGCAGCGAAGCCACCTCCTCCCTGGAAATTAAAAATTAATAAAATCCGTAATTAGCATCGCGTAGAACAGTCCGCACGTAACGCTTTAATTGCTGCACCCCCGCCAGGAAATCTAATTTAAACTGACATTTTCAGGCTGTCGGCTAACTTAATTGCCAATGAGGCCGGCATGCGGTTTACTAATGGGATTTCGACCCGGACCCAATCATGCCGAGCACCGCGACAATGCCGCCAAATTTCCTCGGACCATTTAAATTCAGCAATGCGAAATATTCATACTTTCCCCGATTTCCCCTCGAAAAATGTCAGCAAACAGAAATCACAGAAGTCAGATGCGAACAAAAATTAACAAAAAAGCGATGGCAAACTTTAACGGAGAGCACACAAAATAAAAATCAAGTGGGGCACCGACCGCAAACAACAAGTGCTGGGGAAAAACGTTGTTTTAATGTTGAAAATGAAAATGTTGCAGCACTTGTGGCAGTTGCCAGCTAGCAAAAGTAAGGAGAACGCATTTTTGTGGCATTTCAGACAATTAAAGTAGTCAGTTGGAAGGAAGGAAGCGGAACCGGAAGCAGAGCCACCAGCCACCAGCAGTCATTTGGAGCACAGAAGAAGCCCAAGAAGCTGAGCAAATTCGAGGCGTAGGTAAAAAGTTTGCTTTTTCGGCAGAGGAGGCAGCAGCAGCAGCTGGCGATGTTGTTTTATTTTTCACTGTCAAAAGAGCAGAGCAACATGAAATTTTCATAAAGAACAAAAAGGAACCCCGAAACCAGCAACAAGACAAAAATAAAACGAGCCAAACGAAAAGTTGTACGGCTGTACACACATCGCATTCGGTTAGGTTTTTATTCCCACACTGCGTATACGTAATATCTCAAATTGTTGCATTGTGCGTGGGCGTTTTTTTTTTTTTTTTTTTTTGGTAATTTTATGGCCCGCAAAAGTTTTTGCGGCCCCCCGCCAGACAGACTATGAAAAGTTATGGATTTGTTTGGCCCCTGCTTTCCAGTTTAATTACTTAAATATTTAATTAAAACGGGTTGAGCTCGGGTTCAAGTTGGGCAATTAAGAGCATTAACTGAGCCAAAATAAACATGTTTCGCCAAATACTTGGCATATTTACCAAAAATAAAATTGGTTTTTAAAAACTGTTTGGAAAAACCTGCATTACCTCCGGGAAAAAAAAGGGAAAACAATTTCTAGCCCAGCCCGTTTGCAACTGTTGTAATGCCAAACCAACTGAATTTCCCTCTTCGCCTGGCAATTTTTCGCTTGGCTGCTGCACAGTTTTCTTTTTTTTTTTTTTTTCGTTCCAACAAAAAAAAGCTGGCTGTCATTCAAGTGAAAATTGAAAATGCTGTCAATGACATGCGGGCAAATTGAAAACGCAACATGAACACTACAAATGCCGAACTTCATCGGGCCTGATTCGATGACGTCTGATGGTATTGGTATCTTGATTTTTCGCTTTCACCGGGATTAATTACCAAATTGGATGCAGCAGCAGCAGCAGCAGCAAGTAAGTTTTCGGCAGCGAATTTTATCAAATATACTCAAATCAACAGAATGGACACGCCACCATGCTCAATCAGATAATGATGTTGTCCAACTGGCCGATGGGAAAGCCCTGATCCAGGTGGGCGGCTAAAAAGGGGGCGTGGCTGTTGGTCAGTCGAAGGTACAGCAGTTGGTTTTGTGTGTGGGTGTGTGTGGGCAGCGATAGTGGATCACATAAACCACAACTGACATGACGTTTGACTGGCGTTTGCCTTGGGAGTTCCTTCGCCGCACATGTCCTTTCTCCGCAACACACTCATATGTATAAGTATATCTTTATATATCTTATATATATAAATCTCATGTCACGATGTTTGTCCGCGATGGACTCCTAAACTACTTAACCGATGTTAAATTAAATTGGCATACCATGAGCAGTCTGGTCCAACTTGAGAGATAGGATAGCTTAGATCTTTAATTATAGTCGCAATTTTATTTTATTGCTAATTATTTGTCCATAATGGATTATGTTCGCCTGGTACCTAGAAGTGGATTTTCCAATTTGTCCCTTCGAATTCGTTCCGCCAATACCAACATATTCAACCAAACCTCATTTTGAAGTACCAGGCGAACAGAATGCAATAGTAGGTGATTACTTTTTTTTTAATATTTTCAAATTGCCCGCAAAAGTATGCTATAAAAAATAAGCAAGAGCAACACCACGTTTTGTCTACGAAATATTGGCAAATTTGCTGCTATGCTAAACCGACAATAGCCTGATTACCACGTGTTATTGAGGTTAAGGTATAAATAAAATTTATTTTGTAGTAAACGAAATAGCGTGAAATTCTAATATTTCTACTTTTTTAATTTTTGGTGTTAGCATAGCCAACCACGTACGTAGACCGAAGTGTAAATCAAATTCAAATTATAGTGACGAATTATTGTCATACAGTGAAATCATTCCTGCTTTTTAGTTATCTGTGCTTCATTATTCAAAATTCTGTAGATATAAAAAATACACATACAGGTATTGTCACATAATAATTATAATGGTAAATTAAAATGCCGCCGGATAAATCTAATCTCAACAACGTGAGCAACAGAGAGGCACGAGGCAAACGTGTTGAAAGAGCTCATCAGTTGCCAGAACAAGTCGATACAAGAAATACAGCTCAAAGAATTAGGACAGCGGAAGGTCGTGCACAAGAATCTCAAGAACAGCGTAGCGAACGCCTGCAACAGAATATTACGAGAACAAGAGCGGCACGAGAACGAAACATAGATACAGTACGAGCACAAGAACGACAAAGGCAACGGATCAGCCGCTCATTAGTACGTACATCATTCGTTCGTCTTGCTTTTGAATATGCACCAGATATTAACTACTCTGCGCATTCAAAAATTGCTATTGGTGGAATGGATAAAGTATGTCAATATTGTCAGGCGTTGAAATTTCGAAATGAAACTACCGGTATGTGCTGTGCAGCAGGAAAAGTCGTGCTGCCACCTCTACCCCCTCCGCCAGAACCTTTATTATCCCTTCTTGCTGGGAATTCAAATGATTCAAAATTGTTTTTACGTAAAATACGCAAATTTAATTCTTGCTTCCAAATGACATCATTTGGGGCAACTAAAATTTGTGATCTTGCATCCGATGGACGTAATTTTGAAACTACATTTAAAATACAAGGCCAGGTGTACCACAAAATTGGATCATTGATGCCAATGCCTGATGTTAATCCGAAATTTCTTCAAATTTATTTTATGGGCAATTGTCAAGAGCGTGCAACGACTCGGTGCCAGTATAATTTCATTGTACAAGCAAAGGAGGAAGCAATTGTGATATTACTGGAAAATTTTTTAGAAGATCAGAATCAACTACTTCAATTAATCAAAAGAGTTTCGCCACGATTGCAAGATGACAACTACCAAATCGTTATAAAAGCCGATAAAGTACCATTAGGTGAACATGCTGGAAGATTCAACGCTCCAACTATTGGCGAACGCAACCAGGCTAAATTACGATCAGAAGAATATATTCACTTACGAGATGCTGTTGCTGGAAATATAGACGGAAATTTAAATCCTAATGACATCGGTAATGCTTTTATTTTACCTTCAAGCTACATTGGCAGTCCACGAAACATGCAGGAATACATACAACGTTAGCAAAAGACAGGTTAACCAAAAATATTGTGCAGCAATTAGTACTAAATTAAATTGAAATTGAAAGTATATATAGTTTAAAATAATAAATATTACTGTTAGAGACTTAAGACTATCTGCCTTACCTACAGTTCTTCTTTAATTGTATACTTCAATATAATATTACAATAACTTTAGCTACAGCAACGCGTAGCCGGGTCTGCTAGTGTATATATATATGTATGGGTAGTATATAAACATGAGCGTGTGCTGAATTATTTACGGTGTCACTGACAAAGTTTACGATGTCCACGACAGCAACAACAACTAGAACAATAGCAACAACAGCAACAACAACAAGAAGAATGGTCTAACCGTAGCTATTTGTTCAGTAAATTAAGAGTGTGCCATTTTTACGTATTTTTTACGCTGCCACACAGGAGATCTTTTTTTTGGGGTTGGCGAAACTGATATATGTGTGCGTTCTGCTCGATGAGACAATCATTATTAGTCAGCCCATGACAACAAAACAAATCACGAATACTACGCAAACTTGGGCCGAGCCCGTGGCTCTGGTCTCTGCTTGTCTCCGCTCTGATTAGATGTCCTTTCCTCTTTTTCTGCCTGGATTCCCCTCACATATTTGTCTGAATTAGCGGGACAGCAATCATGTTCCGCATAGGAATGCTCATCCTCATTGCGCTGACCTCGACTAGAAAAGTTGGAGGAGTTCGGAGAATCGCTGCTGTATGGGAAAACCGGAGATTGGGGGGCTGTTTATTTTGCTAACAAAATGAATAATAAGCCATGATATAACTATTAACGAGTAAGTAGCAAAAAATGGAGAATGATTTTAATATTTTTATCCTTAAATGACAAATAGCATTTTTTAAAACAGAATTGAAAAACTCATTAAAATAATTGTTTTTCAATATTTTTCACGTTTTTTTTTTTTAATTCATTTTAAATACAAAATAAGAAAAAGCTAAATTTATCTGCGTACATGATACTTTTTGAAGAACATTTAATAATTTGGTATGATATAATGATGATAAACGGTTAGCATTTTCATATATTTTGCATTAATGTCTAAAATTTTCCGTTTAACTATGGTATAATGATAAGAAACAATTTTCAGTTATTTCAAAAATGAGATAAAACATAAATCATAACTTAATAAAAAGTATAATTAATATCCTATTTCAATTGTTCCTAAAATAGGTAATAAATAAGCCATTAAATAAAACTGACTTTAAGCAAATAAAAACCGTCAACTGCCAACCTCTTCAGGCCGTATTTCACTCTCAGTTAGAAACTGTTGCCCACTTTGGAGGGCCATCAATTCGTCGGCAAAAGTTGGGCGACAAGTCTACGTGACTGGGGGAAAGTTGGTGCCAAGTTTCGAGGCCCACAAATTGCCAGCGAGACATTGACCAATGATGGGGGGAATGGGGGGATATGGGGACATTCGACACCGGGCAAATTAAAAATTCAAATTCGATTTAGGGCAGGTGGGTGGAGGGTTAGCCTTTTTTAGCTTACCTGAGTTGGTTCAGCTCGCTGCGCATATCGGCATCCACGGTGGCCGCATTCGTGGTGAGCCGCAGGGATTTGCGCAGATTGTGCTCCAGCATCTCGTAATCCTCGCGACGACGCAACATCAGGGCGTTGAGCTGTTTGGTCAGCAGGCGCACCTGATCGGCCATTTTGTTGGCCTCCATTGACCTGCCATTCGATAAGGATTCCGCCGAGCTGATGTCCTCGCTATCCTCATCGTCCTCGACGAAGCGCAGGAGCTCCACACTGGATTCCGGCGCCTCCGTTTCCGGTTTCTGGTGCTGGGGCTTTTCGGAGGTTGTGCCCTTGGCATCGCGCAACATGTGGTTCACGTCGCTCAGGACAACGCCACCGCTGGCCGCACCACTGACGGTTGCCAACGTGAAAATCTGTAGCACCACCACCGCCAGCAGGATTGGCCGCAAAACGCTTCTACTTGCCATTGTTGCAGGGCAATTTAAATGCTCACACGAAACTTTCACCAGCGAGTCTCGGAATGTTTGGCAATCTTTCATTCACGCCGCGCAACAAAAAAGAACTCGAGTTAGACGGGCTTTTTATGCAAATTACTGGCACGCATGCCGCAACAACACACACACAGACACACGCACACAGAGAGAAAACGACCCCTCGACTTTCCGGCGGCGTGACAGTCAAACACCTTATAAAAGAGGCGCTGGCAAACAATGTTACAATTATTCCTGCCGCTCGCCTCGGGCTTAATCCTCTTTGTTTGGCTTTCTCAAGCACTGCTTTTCACTCTTGGTCCGCGGAAAGTTCGCACCACGCACTGGACTCACTAGTTTAACACTTTTGCTAAAGGTTATTCTTGGGGCAAAGGATGTTTTCAGCGCGGCGTTTATCGAAGGACTCAAGCGGCGCGACTTCAGCGCTGCCTTTTATTTGCTGCGAAGCCAAAGGTAGAACAACTATAAGGTGGTCTCATCGGTTCATTCAGTCCCTTACCAATCACTCAAAACAATAAGTGCGAAAGAAACAGCAATATCGAGTGTTGTCTAACCCTTATGCGGTGCATGGGGCTTAAAATGGTCTGCCATACGACAATAAGTGAGAGAACCACACGAACCTTAACGGACTTAACCTGAGAGCACGAAGCATGCAACAAGCAGTTCGTTGGCAAAAGAGAGTAGCAAAGAGAGGCCGCTTTAAAGTAAGAGAAAACCTAACGAAGGACTAGTGTTAGTCCTTTGCAATGATTGCACTTTACAAAGATCTTATCTACGTGATAAGATCTAATAGAAGTGCTACGAGACCGAGAGAAAAAAACGATAAATTAAACCCAAAATGGCGGTCTAGGTCCTTTTTTTTGCACTTATCCTGCTACCAACACATGGCGCGCTTGCGGTGAGAATACGACGAAAACAGAATGCAACGAAAACGGCAGATGTTTAGGCCCCATTTGCAGACGTAAAAGTGCGAAAACATGTTGACGTGCTTCGAAACGGTAAGAAGAAGACAAAGCACCAGACGCTGAAAAACCAAGAATCGGAGTTGCAAGGAGCCTAGGAAATGTGTATCAATGAACAATGGAAAATGCAGCAGGATATTTCTCTTTTGTCTAGGAGTCTTCGTAGGCAGCTGGAAAACCAGGATTTTAAAGAAATTTGTGGAGTAACAAAAGATCGCCCACCTACAAACAATATAGGCATTTCTTTCATCTACAGAAAGAATGGAAAAGATTTCATTACGATATCAGGTTTCACATTAACAATTCAACTAAGCATTTAAACAATCAAAAAAGAAATTTTAAAACATGTACATAGTTTAAAAAAAACTGGTAACAAAAAAACCATAACATCACCACAAAAATGTAAGCCAAACAAGCACGACTTTATACAGATAATCGTCTGATATTTTAATTTAAATAAAATTGGTTTTTGCATGATGCCCAAATACCCCAAAGCCTTTAAAACTTCCTTTTTACGTGAGTTTTGTTTTTAGTCCTCGGCGAGTGGTGCAACAGCCTTCTCGCACTATCTCTATATATGTAGTATAAATCACCCACACCAACGCATTCGATGCGCTGATATTTTGCAGACATAAAAGCCGGAAAAGGTTTTAAAGTGCAAAATTGGAATGCGGCTGCAAAAGTCACTGGAAAAAAGGAGCAGCACTGCCATTGAATGGGTCGAAAGCCCACTGCCCGCTGCATTGTTGCAATATGGACCCAAATGGGTTTAAACGCAACTCGGGGAAGTGAGCGCTAAAAATATGCCAAAAATGCCGCCTTACGCACCGAAAAAAAGCGTTGTAAGCTATGTATATCCACTATTTTTTGCCCATGCCACAAATGTTATGGGGTGAGGCACGGTCTGGGGTCAGCTGAATGGAATGTGCGCTTGGCTGAGCAGAGACGGGGCAAATTGGTAGCGAAAAGGGGTGGCTGCCCTCACTGGAAGGGGGTGCAACAGTCTGCCATTGTTGGCACTTGCCGCAGCCGTATTGCAATCTGCAAAATTTTATACCCTTTTTATGGGGGCTGAATAATTAACCAGAAAGTTACAGAAGTTTCAAGAAAAAAGTTTATTATAAAGTTGGTTGACTTTAGCCTTAAATATAGTACTTTATTTGGAATAATTTAAATATTGCGAATATCTGTCATATTATTTATAAGTATCTTATTTAAAATATGTTTGTTATATTCAAATTTTTTTTTAATATTATATAACAATCATGATGGTTCAATGGATCATTATAACAACAGATTAAAGCTCTAACATAAACTTCATTACTTTATATTTGACCAATAATAATAATATAATAGAGGTAAACATTTTACTCATTGACATTTTGTTTTCATTTCAAAAGTATTTAAAATATTATCTGAATAAATTTCCTTTATGTTGTACTGTTCATATCGACCTATCTGGTTTTCGGTTTAATGAAACTCGGAAAAGTTGCTCTGCAAGTGTATTTCAGCCTTCGGCTCCCGAATCGCGCCCTTGTAACTTATATTATTTCGATGTCGTTTTCGTTTTTACTTTTTAATGTACTGCTAGCAGCAAGCGGCGAGTCAGAAAGCGGAGGACAAGCTGTTGGCCAGCCCCTTTGTGGTGGCCATCATCAATGGACGTGGCTGCATAATCAAGCGGTGGCCACATGCACATCCGTGTGCCACATCCACATCCACATGGACATCAACATCCAGAACCACAGCCCCTTTGCCATCCGGCTGAGCTGTTTGCATATTTTGAGTGGACGCAGTTTAGTTTTTAATTTGATGCCTTTGTTTGTTGTCATTCTGTTCTAGCTTGTTGCACACGGCAAATGCAGCGAGGGGTGGGGAAAGTGGAGAGGAGGGGGAGGGGAGAGGGGAGGGGGTATTGCACCTGGGAGTGGTGGCTGCCGCCATTTGCATGGGCGTCCCCTCTACCAAAAGTTCCCTTTCCCGTTCCTCAGGAAAACCTCCTCAATCCCCTGGCGCATTTGTTTCATTGTCGCCCGTTATATTGTTGGCTTTTATGCAGGAAAATGTGGCTGGAAATGGCAGCGAATGGCTCACGTTATGGTCAGCATATTAAGGTAATGGCCTGGAAAGTCTGTGTCGGTGCGCTCCAGCTCTCCAGTTCACTCCCTGAATTGGTATTAAATGTGAGCATGGCACGACTCGAATGCAGTTCAAATTTCATTTGCACTCGTATTCGATGGGGATTTCCATGCCTTGCCCCGCATCAAATGCTCTTTTGAGGTCTCAAATAGGTGCTAAAAGCAGGTACTCTATGCGATTTAATGAGCTCCTGCAACGGCTCTTCCCAATTGCACTTACACTAAAAACAAATCTCCTTCTTGTGGCAATAATCTCATTGAACTACATCAAAGGCGAGTGAACAATATGCTGCAGTTTATGTCAAAATCTACTTGCAATAAGAACACATATGTATTGAGTAAGCATTTATTATTGTTTAATATAAGGTAGAAATTAAATAAATGTTACAGCAAGCAATGCAAATTATTTATAATATCTTTAAATTGTAAGCTTTTTTATAACTGAAAGGCAATTGATAATTTATTAATTTATTATTTTTGTAACCACTTCAGATATACCCGTAGACATTTTCAAATGAAACATGAAATAAATTAATACTGTGGAATGCAATCCCAGCTATTCACTCAATTAATAACTCCTTGGTCACAAGAATTATCTCGAAATAAATTCAGCAATCAATGCCGGAATGCGGGAGCAGGTGTCCCTTATCTCTCCATTGACCAGTTGACCAGTTCGTGGCCTTTCTGCCCAGGCAGATGATGAGGGCTCATCAGGTTGGCCGAGGGCACTGTTGATTCTACATACGAGTATATTGGGCAATCGAGATGACTGGGCCTGAGCCGAGGACAGGTTCCGGTTATGTGGCATGCAACCAAGAAGCACGCAACCACGCACGCGATACATTTTTTTCTTAACTTTAGAGAGACAATTTTGTGCCTTTGCAAAATATATACATATCCATCTGACCAAAAACGATCCGAAAGAACGCTGCGCAGGCGCAGTTCCAAGCTGAGCACTAATCATCTGAATGACAACGGCAATGGCAACGGCAAAAGCAACAGCTGAGGTAACTTGGCCAAAAGAAGAAAACGAAAAAAAAAAGAGAACTGGCCAACCGGCTGCTGCTAACGGCAGGTGCAAAACATTTACCACTCGAACGAAAATTTCCTACCTGATTTAATCTGCCGCCGTTGGAAGGAGCAACCTTTATTTTTACTGTTGCAGGCGGCTGATGTTGTTGCAGTTGTTGTTGTTGTTGCATGTTGCTGCGGGGTCTTCAGGTTGCTGCTTCGGGTTGTTGTTGCTGCTTCGTGTTGCTGCTGTGCCAAGGCTTCGCTACGTGTTGTTTCATCAACTTTGGGACTTGGCGTGGCATGTTGCCTGCATGCTCCGCTGATCACACACACACACACCAAAACACACATAACCACACACAATAAAAAGGAGACTGGCTTACACACACAGGAACACACACACAGGCACACTTTTGCTATCACTCAAGGCTATTGCTGCACGGCTGCCTCCGTTTTAACCATCCACTTTGGTGGCTTTTCTTGGCAACGCCAACGCAACAGCGCCGTCTGTGGTCTCCTCGGCTTTCCTTTTCCACTCCTTTCGCGGAGAGAGTGAGTGAAAGGGCGATGAAAGCGGAGGAGGAGCAGGAGGAGGAGGAGGAGAGGGGGGTGCACGCATTGACAGACCATAAAAACAATCCCTAGAAGCCATCAACCGAATGAGGGCTAATGCTGCCATTGACCAACATACGAGAAACAAAAGCAGTTCAATAAAAGTAGCTACTCGACTTTGACGTACCCTTAAATACGTTAAATAAATTTCATTATTTTAATTGTTAATATTATGCAAACCTACTTTATTAAAAATAATTGCTAAAATTATACAAACTATTATACTAAATTATTGAACATCAATTTTGATTTTGATTAATTGTATTAAAATTTGAAAGTGGATTTTAACCACAGAATTTTAATTAAAAAAGACAATAAAAACAGATTATATTTATTTTATTCATTTCAAGGTTCTCCAAAGCTGAAAAATAAATTGTTTTTTTTTCAACATTTTTTTGTTTAAAGCATTTTGTGATCAGTGAACACTTATTTGCAAATGTAAACTTTTTGCTCAGTGATTAGTTATTATTTTTGTTACAGCACTTCAAAATACATTATAATTGTATCCAAAATAGCTAATGATGTTTCAAGTGTTCATGAGCTAAAATGAATACAAATCTAATCACAGAGCTCCCCTTTACTTTCCCCAAATCCAGTGGTATTTCAAGTATTCATGAGCTAAAAATAATACAAAACTAAACACAGTACTTTCCCTGACAATCCCCACTGCCAACATACCCCTCCA